GGTCTCTCACCGTTTCGAGCTGAATGCCCCTATAAAAGTTGGAGGCACAAAACTGTTGAATCTGCGGGCTTTGGAGAACCGATTGCGGGGCCAACAATAATCGGTTATCCACATACCTGAGAAACAAAAAGGACGAGGCAAGTGTCGACGGTAGAGTTTGCAAAAACCGCTGTTCTGCCATTAAGACAGGGAGGCCTGACAGAACGGGACTGATTTGGTTCCCGATGCAGGTGCCCTCCTTCTGCTTGCGGCACGAACCTGCCGCTGTAAACACTCCTGTTTCGAAGCTGACACGAACAATGGCAGGAATGTCCTGCACTCTACAGACTTTGTATGGTGACTTAAGTCCACCCCTCGGTTGGCCTGAATGGCCAGTCTTGCCCGAGACTGACACTGACACGCTGTCGTGACCAGTCTGGGCTTGAAAGTTTTTGACAAGGTCGGACACTGCTTCTAAAATGTCCTGTCTGGGCACGGCATTAAAAAAGCCCACAAGATCGTCATTCCATTCTTCAAACACTGTGGTATCTGGGCAGTTGAAAAAGGTGTGCAGCTGCTTCCAAATGACAGGCATGGAAGCAAGCCCAGGAGCCTCGGGGTAGAGGGTCTTTACCATCAGATTGATGGCAATCGCTGCAAACTCTAAAAGCTTGCAACACAATGACTGGGAGTACGATATTATCGTCCGCCCCTTGCGAAAGGCCTTCTTGGCCTTGAGAAAAACAGTCCCCTTGGGAAGGTCTGCTTGCTTATTGAATGCCCAAGGATATCGGCGGAGCATCCAGGAAGGGATAGCATTAACCACACGTTGCTTCCATTCATCAGGATGACCGGGTAATCGTTGAAACACGGACTCATCATCCCAAGTGTGTTGCAAACCAGCGACGAAAAACCGCGGACAAAAACAAACAATGTGATTGGGATGATGGTCTTCATTGTAGAGAACCAGATGGTCATGAAGCCGTGCCTTCACGACTTGGACGTCTCGCCAAGTGAGCCGTCTTGAGTTTTTTAAGCATTCAAGGTGTCGTGGCCAGGCATCTTTTAAGAAAACTTCAAACATGGGCTCAACCGTCACAGGGAGCCTATGATGCTGACGCCACTGTTTGAAAAAGTCTAAGCTGCGTTGAAACCATTGATGCTGCGCTGGGAAGAAGGTGCTAGCAGCGCTTGCAAAGGCTATAGGGCCAAACTCCGGAAACAACTCACACAGGCTTTCAAGCCCACACGCGAGGTGTTGGTCAACAAAGCAGTCAGAAGGTAACCTGGCTCCATACCAACTGCAATGGCATGGAAGCTGTTCAGGTTTAAAGTCTGGCGCCCACATCAAGTCTTCCCACACTTGAAAGTTGTGGAGGAATTTCTTGATGCTCTGATGCGGTGCTTCCCTGATACTAGCCTTCGGCACGTGCAGGGGTGGAAAGAGGTACTTGAAATCCAAGATGAATTTTCGAAGCCATGACTTCAAAAGTGTCTCGTATTCAGGATGAGCCAAAGGCAAAGTAGACAGTGCTTTGGACTGTCTGGGCCAATGCATATTTGTTCGAAAGTTGACAACGCGCTTTAAAGCATTTGTCACCTTGGTTCGGTGAGGCTCCTCAATGTTTCGGCTGAGACGGATGATAGCATACACTTCTGCATCTGCTACAAACCTGGAGCGAAGAAACTTGTCAGCTTCAAATGCTGCTTTGGTGTGGGAAGAGAGATCAAACACGAGATCCCAGGCTTTCTTCCTGTTGTCGACCAAAGCAAACAATCGCTTGCAAGGAAACAGCCTCTTTCGGAGTTTCCTCCAGAGTCTGAGGCCAAACTGAGAGTAAGCTGCACTTCGCTTGCGTTTGGCAGGTCGGTAGCCAAGTGCAGTTTTCTTCAAAAACTTCAACGCGTGAGGATAATTGAGCTGGGATTGCCACTGAGCAATGAGCTCATGTTCCACTCCCCATGCTTCCTTGTATGTGGAGCACTGGCAGAGTGGCACAACACAGAAGTCAAAAAGGTTTTTCTGTGAATGCCAATATCGCACTGCCAGCTCTGCGTCCACCAACTGTGTCTTAAAAAGACGGCGATATACTGCCATACGGTTCAAATGTCTGGCATTGACGCCTTTTGCTGTACTGCCAATGTACAACAGTGAAGACTTGTGAGAATACAAGCCTGATGAACTTTGAAGGGCCTTTTTGATGTCCATTTGAAACAAGCAATACACTGTGTTCGCCTTTTCAAAGGACGAAAAGTGCAGGGTGTCAGGATGAACGTTGAAAGCTCGGAGTTTCTGTCGAATCCTGCCTGCGTGAGAAGTAAACTGCCACTGACGCTCGGGCGCACTGAAATGAAACAACAACACCAAACACATCAACGCGTGCACCCAAATGAGTGGGCCTTTTTGTATGCCATCTCCATGTTCTAGCATGAAGACTGCAGCGGATGCGAGGGTCAAAACAGACCACAACAGGTTGTGCCTGCATTGAACGGACTGTTGACGCAGTGACTTTGCTTGGCA